CTGACTAAACGCTCTCCAACAGTACATGTGTTTTGCGCATTTTAGATGCTAGTGTTTGAGAACGATTATGACCAAGAAAAGGCCTATTGTTGCGTTACACAGTGTTTCTATTGTATACTCAATGGCGTCGTAGATCTACTTTCCTAAGTAGAAGCAAATTAACTAATCGCGAGTGTTGTATGGTAAATCCACTATCTTGATCATTGAATGAAGGACAGTTGAATTAGAGCAATGAAAGAAGTCACTTGACCACTGAATAACTCTACAATGCACACGGCGACACGCCGGGTAAGCCGGAAAGCAAAATGCAGTCGATCCTGAAAAGGTGTTGATAGGCTTGTGAGACTCCTGCCTTTCGTTTGCACTTTTAAATCTTCTGACCTGAAAACTTAGCTGTTATTAAGATATCTTTTAATGACTTTCCTTTGCAATGTGATAATAAGGGTTATTTTAAGGTGTAATTTCCCTGTCTGTATGTTCTTGAGGTTTGGTAAAGCCGAATGAAATTGTGTAACAAAAGGTAATATTTTCGCGTGTGCGCGCTATTTTTCTTTGTTTTCAAGTATACTGTCTCTCCCACAGAAGATAACTCCAGAGATACTGTCTTCAAAACCTTATTTTAAGTATTCTCTATTCTTTTAAGCTTAATTGAAAATCTGTATGTTTTTTAATCAAACGTTGAGCGTGACGAATTTGGTCTTAGAAGGCGTAACGCTTTTCCTTGGGCGAATCCCGTATTTACGCTTTTAAGTGTATGACATGATAAATAATTCGTGTATAAAAAGGTAGCTGTCTCTTTGTAATGAGTTTGCATGTCAAGGGTTGATTCCCTGTTAAATAACTCGCGAATTTGATATTATTCACAAAGCCATCGGCTGTGAGTGTAACTGCTTTCAAATGAATAGATTCTTGGCCAAGGCTGCAGTTTCGATTCTTTTTGAATCTCTTTAGTTGCCTCCTAACAACGAATTTTTCACGGAGGAATAACAGGAGTCGCGCAGGTCTGCCAACGCTTTTTAACTTTCGAAGGAATGGCAACAGGCAATGAATCCTCATTACATTCCACGTTTATTCGCGCTATCTAGCTGCCACCAGAGATGTTCACTCGACCGCAACAGGATGTAAGAGACTCGCTTTTCGTTTTACGACCATGATGCAACGCAATCAGAGTGCGCACACCGCCTGCTCTTCAATGCACTTGTGCCTCTTTGTGTTTTCACATCAATTGTATGAAACCACTATGGAAGGTGGTACTTGCTTCAGTGATTTGTACTCCAGCCGAGTCAAAATTTCCATTCTCTGCTAGGTCATCACCAAGGGTCACAAGTGTGTCATCCTTCCTTCTCAAGATGTCATCAAGCTTAGGAAGGCAGTATGACACTGCAGACAGTAGGGCAGCAAAACTCAATTCTTTATGCTGAAGAATTTTGGTAAGGACCGCAAAGTGCGTGAGAACTTCTTTGAGAATGGAGAGGGTACCAATAAACTTGTGACCTCGGGTTTGCATCAGTAGACTACAGGCAGTAGGATCATCCTCTTTATAGAACTCAAGGATCTGAAGGTTCTAGTTGAAGCTCACAGTCTGACTGAAAACCTCTTCACTCTTCCACAGTTGCTTGTTATTTGAACACACTCCTGTCAATTTCTTGTCCTTGGGCGGGATCTTCCGACTGATAAAACCAGAGCCATTTGCTATTGCTGCCTGGTATGCACCTGCCACAGAGACGAACATCAGTGCTGGAATTTGGCTGCAGTGATTGGTTTGATGACTAATTGCACTGGCCATCTTGGATAGCTTACCAGACATCTTCCCAACCTTTTTGCAAGAGAAGGTGTCAAAGCTGGAGAGAGAGCATGGTTAGCATGCCAGTGTTTGCAACTTGTGGCAGTCTGGATGAGCTACAACCTTGTATAACAAATAGGATTCTCAGAATAAAAAATAATTAAAACTATATACCAATAAAGTAAATACATAACATAATCAAACCAATAAATCAAACATAAATTAGATTAAAGTAACAAAAGCAATTTAATATGCCCTCAAAGTCCGTGGGAAGCTGAATCCTCCTATCTTCAGGGATGTCTCCAGTATCAAAACATTCTGTAATTAAGGGTGCCAATTATAACATGGCAGTGAGGCATTCATTGCATTTAAAGCCAGGTGCAGTAATTGTGCGTTTTTCAAGCTTATTCATCAGCATGCAAATAGCACAAGTCATATTTTGACATCAGCCTCTGACATTGGCTATATTTCCTCCTGTTTCTGACATTGACAGTATGGGCAATTTTGGTCTCCTTCATCCTGTGAATCTCTTGTGCCTGGTTCTCCAAAGCAGGTGCAGTTTACGAGACGTTTTCTAGAGGAGAAAAGAAAAGGAAAATTTGGGGGAAAAAAAAAACCTATCGGAAAAAATTGTTAAAGTACATTGGAAATGGTAAAAAAGGCGCATAATGGCTAAGACTTCTGATTTAGCCTTTACTGTGTACCGCAGTACTCAATAGTAGCTGATACGTATCCGATTCTATTTACAAGTAATGAAAGTCATGGATCTTTTACATTCTCTTCACACTGTGAAATAGAGAGCTGCAATAGGCGAGTTAAAAGCGAGAAATGTGGTAAGTGCTGAAGAAATTCAGGAAGCCATTTTAAAGTATCCTGGTACATTTGTCGCACCCAAACGAATATACAGGAAGTTTAGTTCCTGAACTAGGCCAGATGGAGACACTGTTAAGAGCCAAATGATTCACTTACAAGAAACCAGCCTAGGTACCTTTTAGCAAGTACCAAGAACTGAATTTTTTCTATGAAGTCACTCATACAGCTGGAAATACGGAAGCCTTAGCTAATTTTGGTATATCCCCTGTCAAAGCGGGATCATCCAGTAAGACAGGCGTTAGCAATGTGCGGAACGCAGTTTTCAGTTTCTATTGACTTTTTTCCTTGGTTTTCTCTATACAGTTGCTAATGAGATAAAGGAGGCTAGATCATTGAGATCTTCCTGAAATGATTCATAATTGTATCGACGTTGGATAACCCTTGAGGTTTGACAGTCATCTGCATAGAGTGCCACCATATTCCAAGACAAAACAGCATCAGGCAGATCGATGATAAATATCACAAAAAAGAAGGGGCCTAAGATGGATCCCTGGGGTACCCCTGAGGAGATAGTATGCCGGTCAGAACTTGCTTCATCTATTATTGCCTTTTGCTCACGATTCATTAAGTAGTCCCTGCACCAGTTCAGAAGGCAACCAGAGTTAAATAGCAAAGTTGTAAAACTTGTGTAGTAAGACAACACGAGACACTTTGTCTAAAGCTCTACTAAAATCCAAGAAGACTTCGGCGACTTGGTTCTCTTGGTTCAAAACAAAAAAATTTTCTTACCTCTTCGCTCTTAAATGTCATGCACGGAATATTTTCATCTTCCGGCACCACGATCACTGTTAACATCGTGTCATCGACCACTTCGTTCGCTTAAAAAAAAACAAAACAAAACAATTTTTCATCTCGTAAAACACTTATCTTCTGACCGTAAAACAAAAAACAACCGCGCTCATCTCTTCGCGTCAAAACAACACGTGTAAAAAAAATATATTCTTACCTCCTTCGCCGTCGTCGTCGCATTTCCAACTTCCTCTCCTACAGCATTCTTCTACCCACTCGTCCGAAAAAATCCCTCGATGATAGTGTTGACACACCGCCAACAATATCATAAAAGAAATAAACGGAAAGAGCAAACAACATATAATGAAATATTTGTTTTTCATCGCAGGTAAAAACGTCAAAACACACCACGCGCTCGTTCGTTTGCAAACCGGGTTTAACCACTCTTTCTCTCTCAATGATTTTTACATGACGTATCTATCCCTCTATCACACCGCCGCATGCCCACCGCATGCCCACACAGACGTGCCCGCGTTAAAAACTAGTGCTCACCTACTTGGTCCTTGTGACGTCATCAGAATGGAATGTCAAAATCCGGCCTTCTGATTGGTCCATTTGTACGACGGGACACAAATACTCCATTCTGATTGGTTACACGCTATACCGCCCCCCTATTACTACTTGTCTCCATTTTCTGGAAAATAACATTCACTTATTCAAACTGCCCTGCACCATAATATGACAATGAAGGGAACAATATCTTTCATCAGAAAGAACGTAGAAAGTCACCTTGTATGAACATTTGTTTGCTCCTGTAGTACAGGCTTCCTCAGATTTGTCATTTACTTTTGCCACAATCATTGATGCCACCGTATTATGGTAATTATAGTTTATTGCCACACCTACATCATGCTCTCAGCTGCTTTATAGCCATACTACCCTTTGAAGCTATATTATATATTATGTTTGCACACTGTCCTTCCCCCACAAATTCAACCAGCCCAAATCTGCTCTAAAACAAAGTTCAATGAACTGTGTTCCTATGCCAAGAACTGTTCAGTGTTCTTAAATTCAATGTTGAGCAGTAAACTCAAGCAAAATGGGAATTTAAGAAAAAAAAATTGTTTTAGCTTTCAGCAAAAAACCCCTATAGGCACATGTAGTAACATTACTTGTTACTTGAATGTTTATACCAATCATGATCAACATGTAGTCTGTCAGCTAGCAGCATTTCTAAACAAAATTTATAACTGTGTTATGCAGAATTTTCAGAGTATGTTGTAATTACCCAGCACATCAGATAAAGCCATTCCCTTTCTATGAAATACTCAATAACATCTGCCACAAATTTTAAAAATTGTCTTTTAATAATAAGTAGTATAAAATCATTTTATATCTTGCATTAACATGAACTTTATAAACTGTTTCACTTCAAATATATAAATAACATATGATAAATATCCTTGGTTTTGAAATAATACTTTAAAATGTCTGTTAAAAGATTTCGGCAGATAAAAGTAACTTGTTGAACATTTGCAACTTTATAGTCCATATGCAGTAATATGTTGTTCAAAAATTGACGAGCAAAGTAAAAGCCAGTTTCAAGAGCTGGAATTCATTTGTTTAAATCCTGTAGGACACCCAAGATGCCAAAGAGCAGCTCCATTTTATCTATGTGGTGTTTTTCAGCCTTTTCTCGCTGAGCCTCCTCCTCGACACGTTTCTGCTCTGCATAGTCCTTAAACCATGCAAGACATTCGTTTCGTCCACCAGAGCCCAACCGAGGTTTCTTGGGCGTCGTAGAGCTGCTTGCCACTGTCTTACGTTTCTTCGTAGCTGTGCTTGTTTCAGGTGTTCTTTCCTTGACATCATGGTCGCTTGACTTCTCTGACTTCGCAGAATCGTTCTCAGGACACCTTAAGGAGTCGCCTTGCCCTGAGCTGCTTGCCGTGGCATATGGCCTAACATTAGGCCGGTAGCCATACACTTCCGATAGCTCCTTGTAAAATGGACATTCTCTTCTTTCGTTGCCAGTTTGACTGTTATGATCTTCGCATTTGCGAAAGCCAAGGGTGAGAGCTTTCCATTTGCCTTCGCACTGGTCAGCCCGCGGCGAAATATTTCGACACTCTCCACTTGCATTATCGCCACAATCACTTCCCAGACTTGTTTCTTCTTTTAGTTAACATTTTGGAACATCTCTTGCTTTTCTTCGTACAAGGAAATGAGGAGAAGGGTCTCTTCCCGACTCCAGGAATATCCTTTTATGAGTAAAATTTCGTTTTGCTCGCACGCAGCGGAAGCCATTTTGTTTGTTGATTTGAAAAAAACCGCGAAGCATGACGTCATTATTCCGGATTATTTCAAGTATTCTGCTCTCTGGAGCAGAATGTTTGGAATACATTCCATGTATTCCGGTATTGGAATAGCGTCTCAATCGAACGGTTCGGGTTTATTCCTATTATTCTTATTCCGGAATAGTGTCAATCGTACGCACCCTTAGTCTATTATTAAAAACGATTTTAACTTTTTCTTAAAAGGATTAACTTTAGCAGCTTCAGAGACTCCTTATTGAGGTCACCCGAATTGTTCCTTTTTAGGAATAATAGCATTCTAGTAGATTTTGCAACCAGTTGAGCAATCTTTGAAGTCCACTTTCTGGTCCTTCGAGACAGTGATGCCAAGGTCTTTCGTGGAAGAGATCATTTTAAGATCCTCATCCATTAACCCATATAACCTTCGGTGGTATAGGTTATATAACTCTGCTAGGCGTAAAGAAAAATCAAACTTGGGATAGTTTTGGAAAACTATTCTTAGACTCCTCCATGCTACATCGAGGAGTGTTTTTCAAGGAAAAAAGTGTCAAAACATGTTTTCATCTCAGTGCTTTATTATTGATATTGATTACTATCGTTCCTCTCAGTCACCGCGAGACACACTTCGAATTCCCTGGTTTGAAATGAGTGCTGCCACAGTGATGTTGCTAGGCAAGATTCCACGATGGTTGTCAACGATAATAATGATAATGATGATGATGATAAGGATAATAGTAGAAAAGTGTTTTCTCCCCATTGCTGCTATTTCTATTTTACCACAATATTTCTCGAGCACTGAAACAAATTGGCTGTAAATTTTGACAATTTGAGGAAAAAATATTAGATCTGTGAATTTTACAAGCAATATGTAGAAACTTGATGACTCGACCTCACCGAAACCAAGTCCATTTCCCCTGGATTTAACTTAATTTTTCATTCATTTGGTTTACTCAGGCTACTGCGTTGGTTGTACAACTCTCAGGGGGTGTCTCCACCCGAAAGGGGCAACTCTTCCGTGATTCAAATATGGAGAAGGTCAGTGGTGCTCAGGGTTTAGTTCGGCTTTTGTTCCACGCAAGACTTCTGCTCTCGATGAGCTCGCCGTAGGACACCTAACTGTAATTTCAGCACGCCATGTTGTAATTTGAGCTGTAAAGAGTAGGAGATGGTTTGGGATACCTGATAAACATCCAAGCAAGGGTGGATTTCTTAGTGGAACCATTAATGTAAACTATGATGCACCGCCTCTGTAGATGAGAATTTCTTTGATTTCAATATGGAGATTGAAATTTGGCAAATTTAAAGTGCTCTAATAAAGAAATCTCGTACTGAAAATTTGAAAAAGGATACGAATTTGTCTGTTAAAAGTTTTTTCGGCAGTTCAAGTGTTGTTGAATTCGTTTCTCTGAACTGGAAATCTTTTTAGTGTAATGAAGGTGAAAACAAAAGTATTATTGCAGTTGGTTGACAGGCAAGAAATGCATGTGTAGCGATGGTAACAAGAATTAAAGGAGACACTTTTGAATATGTTCTCATCTTTTTGGGGACAGCGACCAGCTTCCCTTTTGTGGCGATTATAGAAAATAATTAATTATAGCAGTGGACAAGGACACATTTTCTTAACTATTATGTCAATTTTATTTTTAGTGTTAACTTTTGGTGGGGCAATATCACGTTGATCATCTTGTTGTGAAATTGAGGAAAACTGCCCATCATGATTATCACAAAAATGAATTTCTTTTGGAAACACTACTGCAGTAAGTTGAGTATTTATCAACAGTTTGTGAGGAACTTTTGAAATATCTTACAAACAAAACATTTCTGGAACACACTTGCCCATATAGAAGTCCAAAATGAACATATGCAGACTCGTGAAAGGAAAGCCAGCGACTCGGAACTGCTTTCTTTGCGCTCTTCATGTGCTTCTTGGTTTGACTTTCTAATAATTACGTCAGGGGTGTTGCTTTTTTGTTAGCAACTTCTTCTTTGCCCAATCAGTATAACTTAGGAAAGACTTTCACAAGGACTTCATTTCTCAGTGCATCACGTTCCTGCACCTCCTTTTGAAATGGGGACGTTCCTTGCAGGGGCGCTGTTTGCTGTAACGCGTTAACTCTAAACATAACAAAAGTTAAAAAATTTTTTTCAAACTCGGAGCTAAAAGTTAAAACTTATGACATATTTCATCCGTATTTCGACCGGACTTCATCAGTCAATGATATGAATGTTAAAAAGATGAATTTTAAAAAGGTTTTTTTAACGCCACTTGGGGGTTAGAATTGTGTCATAGATAGCTGCTAATTCGTAACCATTGTCTCTGTTTAACGCCGGTTTCGTAAGTTTAATTTGAATAGCTTCTTTTATCCTGCGTTTGAAGGTGTTAACTTCGGTTGATAGTACTTTTGTCTTATTTGGGTCCACCGAGTGGCCCTCTAGGCGACAATGCTCGTGAACAGCTGATGAACTTCTTGATTGGTGTTCTTTCACTCTTATTTCCAGAGCGCGGGCCGTTTCGCCAACGTACTCCTTGTTACACTTCTCACAATGGATCTGGTACACAGTACCGCATTTCTTGAGATTGACAGTTGTGTCCTTGACACGTACCAATTGTGATCTTAAAGAATTGACGGGTTTATGAATAAGTGTAACATCGTGTGACTTGAACGCTCTTTGCAGGCGTTCCGAGATACCTTTGATGTATGGCGTTGATGCATATATTTTCTTCTCGTTTTGAGGCTCTTCGGTATCTTCTGTTGTAGATTTTGGATGTGGTATTGTTAGCATCCATTCTGGATAGTTATTCATTTTTAGAGCTTGCTTGACATGCTGTGTTTCTCTAGTTCTGTCCTCGTTTTCCGTAACCAAGGTCTGAGCTCTCAACATCAGGGTGTTAACCACAGCTCTTTTGTGTTGTAGATGATGGTTTGACTGGAAGTTTAGGTACTGGTCCGTGTGCGTAGGTTTGCGGTACACGGAGATCTTGGTAGAACCATTTTGGTTAATACTCACACAGGTATCAAGGAAAGGAATCCTGCCATCCTTTTCTTGTTCCGAAGTGAACTGGATGTGTTGGTCAATGGAGTTTAGATGTTCTGAGAAGGAATCGACGGCGTTTTCGTGAATCTTGGCCATCGTGTCATCAACATATCGATACCACATAGTTGGAGGGGTGGGGGCGGTGTCCAAAGCTCTCTGTCCGGTAAGCTCTTTCTCGTAGCGGTACGCTACGGCCAATAGTTTCGAGCATTGGTAGCGTGATGTACGACACTGCCAAGTTCCTTGCTAAGATTATGAAACCTCTTGTTGGCCTCAACAGGCCTCAACAGATAATTGGGCGATATCTAACGGGCATCTGTCCGGTAAGCTCTGGTCATTTCCCAGTTTGGCTCTGACAACTGGAATGGCTTCATTGATCGGAATACTGGTAAACAGTGAGGAAACATCGTATGAAACGAGTTTCTGTCCAGGGGGTACTTTAAGTTCTGCAATCTTGTTGACAAAGTCTTCACTGTTAACGATGTGATGACTGTTGAGGCCAACAAGAGGTTTCATAATCTTAGCAAGGAACTTGGCAGTGTCGTACATCAAGCTACCAATGCTCGAAACTATTGGCCGTAGCGTACCGCTACGAGAAAGAGCTTACCGGACAGATGCCCGTTAGATATCGCCCAATTATCTGTTCTACTAGAGATGTGCCTCTCAAGCACATACTTCACATTCCCGGGTGAATTCTATAAACAAAAGAAAGGAGCCGCAATGGGGTCTCCAATTTCCCCTGTAGTGGCCAATCTCTACATGGAACAGTTCGAGAGCAGAGCTCTGGACACCGCCCCCACCCCTCCAACTATGTGGTATCGATATGTTGATGACACGATGGCCAAGATTCACGAAAACGCCGTCGATTCCTTCTCAGAACATCTAAACTCCATTGACCAACACATCCAGTTCACTTCATCTATTACTACCTTTTGCTCACGACTTATTAAGTAGTCCGTGCACCAGTTCAGGAGGCAACTAGATACACCAAAGTTACATAACTTGTGTAGTAAGAGAACATGAGACACTTTGTCAAAAGCCTAACTGAAATCCAAGAACACTTCATTGACTTGGTTCCCTGCATTGAAGGCTTTGGTCCACTGATGATGGAACAGCACCAGCTGAGTGACACAGGATCGAGCTGTCATAAAACCATGCTGTAAGTTATTTAGGCAAGGAGCTACATGTGGAAAAATAGCTTGATGTACGATCTCCTCCTGGCAGTTGCTGGTATTGGACACAAAAGAGATTGATCAATAATTCTGAACTAGGTTCTTGTGATCAGACTTGAAAACAGGGTTATTGTTAGCTCTCTTCCACACCTGAGGAACCACACCTAGTCTAAAATAAATGTTGAAGAGATTAGACAGTGGGTAAGAGAGCTCCAGTGAAAATTCTGGTAAGATTCTCGCTGGGATGTTATCAGCTCCTATCGCCTCGCTTACATCTAACTTAGGCAATATGTTCTTGACTTCAGAGGCTTTTGATGACATTCCCATAAGTAAGTCAGAATGTACCACATCATTTTGTGATCCTGCAAAATCACTACAGTTAGGTACGAACACGGAAGAAAAATTGTTGGGAATTTGTTAGCCGAGGTCTTCAGGCTCCCTAATCAGCATGTATGTTTTAAGGTGGCGAGTGGCCGCTGGTAACTTCAAATTTGTAACAGTTTTCACAGTACAAGATAAATCTTTAGTCAGCATGTGAGACAGATACTTATATGACTTATGTGGCTTAGATATGTGTGGTCAGACATAAACTCTTTTGGGGCCTGTTAAGAACAATGGGAGATGAGATTGACCATGTGGATGTGATGCTTATGAGAAGACATGATTTGAGGGAAGTAAACATTGCTGTGCATGTTTTGATCATTGTAAAGAACTAATCTGCATCTTGAATTCGAAATATTTTGTTACGTGATCTGTTAATGATAGTGAGACAGTGTGCCTTTGT